GTTTTTTGTATGCTTATGCTCCTGATCTTTTAAGACTTTTTTATCAATAAAAATACTGTGTGACTAAGTCATTTTGCTCCTACACAGGAAGTGACTACTAAAAAATTGTTCTATTCTTTTCTGATTACTAGGAGAACATAATCAATTGTCTTTTTTTATGCTAATGAGAACATTTTATTTTGCGAGGAGGTGTTTCTGCTGCTAATGCTCAAGCTGAATTTAATGGGGGTGATCTTTCTGCTCCTAATACATTATCTATTAGAAAAATGTTCTGTCTATCAACAGAACATATCTATGAGCAATTTTTTAGTGTGATTATGAGAAATATTCCACCAATACATAGTCTCTTAAACCTTTACTTTTGTATCAGGAGAATATAATGTGTGAAAATGTGATTTTGCTCCTAATACATTGAGCATTTGTTTTTAAAATTTTAATTTTTAAAGTTAAAGTTACCAATGGTTTCCCCAACTTCAAGTATGACATTTCCTGGTTCAAAAATCCAAGTTACCATTTAGAGTTACTGTCACAAAATTATAAAATTTGAACTTTTAAATCATACGAATGGATTTCCAACTTTTAGTTTGAAATTTCATGTCCAAATGTTAAAATTAACGTTTTCAAGTTGAAATTTAGAGTTACCAGGCCCTTAGACACTGCTAGTTTAATAACAAGAATTTTGAAATTTTAACTTTTGAATCAAAATTTAAAGTTGCGAATGGATTTCCAACTTTTACTTTGAAATGTGATATCCAAATGTTAAAGTTAACGGTTTCAAGTTGGAATTTAGAGTAACCAGGCCCTTGGAAACCGCAAGTTTAATAACAAGAATTTTGAAAGTTCTACTTTTGACTCAAAATTTAAAATTGCGCATGGATTTTCAACTTTTAGTTTGAAATGTTATGTCCAAATGCTAAAATTAACGGTTTCAAGTTGGAATTTAGAGTAACCAGGCCCTTGGAAACCGCAAGTTTAATAACAAGAATTTTGAAAGTTCTACTTTTGACTCAAAATTTAAAATTGCGCATGGATTTTCAACTTTTAGTTTGAAATGTTATGTCCAAATGCTAAAATTAACGGTTTCAAGTTGGAATTTAGAGTTACCAGACTCTTAGAAACTGCAAGATTAATAACAAGAATTTTGAAATTTTACATTTTGAATTGAAATTGAAAGTTGCGAATGAATTTCCAACTTTTACTTTGAAATTTTACGTCCAAATGAAAACTAACGTTTTCAAGTTGGAGTTTAGAGTTACCAGACCCTTCGAAACTGCTAGTTTAATAACAAGAATTTTAATTTTAACTTTTGAATTAAAATTTAAAGTTGCGAATGGATTTCAACTTTTAGTTTGAAATTTTATGTCCAAATGTTAAAATTAACGGTTTCAAGTTGGAATTTAGAGTTACCAGACTCTTAGAAACTGCAAGATTAATAACAAGAATTTTGAAATTTCAACTTTTGAATTGAAATTGAAAGTTGCGAATGAATTTCCAACTTTTACTTTGAAATTTTATGTCCAAATGAAAACTAACGTTTTCAAGTTGGAATTTAGAGTTACCAGACCCTTAGAAACTGCTAGTTTAATAACAAGAATTTTGAAATTTTAACTTTTGAATTAAAATTTAAAGTTGCGAATGGATTTTCAACTTTTAGTTTGAAATTTTATGTCCAAATGTTAAAATGTTTCAAGTAGGAATTTAGTTACCAGGCCCTTAGAAACCGCAAGATTAATAACAAGAATTTTGAAATTCCTACTTTTGAATTAAAATTTAAAGTTGCGAATGGATTTCAACTTTTAGTTTGAAATTTTATGTCCAAATGTTAAAATTAACGGTTTCAAGTTG